CTGGGGGGGCGCGGCCATCCCCTCTTCCGCTCTGGGGCTCTGGCAGGGGACCCAGCTTCTGAGAAGCCTGTCACTCTGTCCCCACCACTTCGGTTGTATTTTTTTTTTAAGTCAGAGGGGGCGTGGGGGAAAAAGAGAAGAGGGTCTCCTGCCCCGAGCCCTGCTTTGGTGTCTGGGAATGATAGGTCGAAGGTCGACTCTGGAGTCTCGGGGACCTCCTACTCCCTCTAACTTTGCATCCAGTCTGGTCACCCGTCCCTTTTCCCTCAGTGTATGTGGGGAGTGGCCCTCAAGGGCAGCCGAAGGAATGGAATGCCTGGCACACTTTATAGCCTGGAAAGGAAAACCGGGAATGGGGACTGGGGATTGGGGGTTGTGGGGATAGTTGCTTTTTTTCCTTATCCCTCCCAAACTTTCTTTAATTTCCTCCCAGGCTTCTGTGTGCCTTTTTAACACTAAATGTTGGACAGACTAGGGTTTTGTCCTAGGGAAGAAATGGTCTTTCTTGTTTATAGGTTTGGATCGTGTTTTATCCCTTCCCAGGGAACTGGTGTGTTGGGGACAGCTTCTGTTTGCCTTGCCTGACAAGGTCCAACTATTCCCTCAGCCTTCTGGATGGCAATGCCAAAGCCAGAATTTAAAAAAAAAAAAAAAAAAAAAAAAAAAGTTCCAGCTTAAATGCTAATGCCAAATGTTAGGTCTTGTTTATTTGTTTTAAATACGAGATTCATTAATGTCAAAAAAATCTGTTTAAAAAAAAATGATTCAGAGCTCTGGTTGGTTTCCATTGACTAGATCAATTCCATATCTGAAAAATTTGGTCTCGTTAGAATTGCTGCCAAAAATAGTTTAACCTTTTACGTGTAATATGTTATTTCCAAGAGGAATCTGGAAGTCTGGGTTTGGCCATCGTTTTGTTGTTGTTCTCTTATATTTGAAACATATGCATTCCATTCAAACCTGTCACCATGTGATATACCAAGGACCATGTGTTGCCTGCCTCTCTGACTTCCTTTCTGTTCTGGGAATGCTGAGAAATCTGGGTTCTACTGGGATCTGGGCCCTATGGGAAGGAGAAGGGAGTGAGTCAAGAGTGAACAGGATCTTTCCCAGAGAAGATGATGATAAGTCTCTGGGGCAATAAAGGAAGTAAGAGGTCACCAGGGAAAAAGAGACTGTTGTTAATGTTTGTGTGTGCACCTATGTGCATGCACTCGTGCACATTTAAATCTCTGGCGGGAGAGAAACTAACTGCAAATTCAGACTTTTTCACTTTAGGATGCTGGCTCCTGAGCAAATACAAGTTTGAAAATAATGTCTAGCAAATGGCTCACAGCAAACCTTCTCCCTCATCCAAACCAGGTGTAAAAAACTCTTGCTGTCCCATAGTTGAAGCTCAAGAAATGTGTCCTCCTGCCCCTCCCTTTAATCACAATCCAAATACTCCACAGATAGAGGTAACAGTGTCACATAGCACCCCTGAACATCATGGTACCTGAACTCCCCTGGGGCTTAACTTCAGTTGGTTAAGCGAAGAAACTAACATCCTTTTTGGGGCAGTCTCATCTGCTACGGCAGTTCCACAGAGCATCCCAGTCCTCTCACAACTCATCTGCTCTCGCCTTGGCCTTGTGGGGGTGGTAGAGACAGTTAAGGAAAAGGGGAGGCCTGTGGACTAAGGGCTTTACAATAAAACTCTAGTCATTTTCAGCTCCTCCCATTGCTATCTGTCAGAATAAAATGTTTTAATGTTTTAATGGGGAAAAATATTATAAACAAGCTGTTTGTACCAGACTTCTAGTCCTTGCACTGGAGTAGAAAGTGAACACATTCCTTCTGTCTTCTCTGTTGGGTTATGTTTGTTGCCAAGACATGGTGGTTTGGGAATGGGGGACAAAAGAAGGGAGTGGACATTACACACTCAAGCCCACCCATGCAGGTGTAGGCCATCATGGCAGCCTTTGCCTGGAAGTCTGACATCTCACAATGCTCTGAACCCTGCTGATATATGGATGGAGAAAGCCCTATGGGTGGGTTTTGCCAAGATCATCTGGAAAGCTCTGAGGCTACCTCCTGTGTCCAGAGCAGCCAGACCTGTCTGTGCTGCTGCAGCCTGTCTCAATGAACCTAGCTGCCTTAAAACTGGGCTGAGGTTAGAGCCTCTGGGCACATCCCTGGAAGTCTCTGAAGGGAGAGGCAGCCTTCATTAAGAACACATGTTGAAATATGTTCATGGTGCTGGGGGTTTCGGTAGAAAACTTCAGAAACTCCACTCTTGAGGCTTGCTAAGAGATGGGCTTCGGAAGGGAGGTATGGGCATTGCCTGCTGATGAGACAAAAGGAGAGACCAGCCTTGCCTTCAGGCTATAGTAGAAGCTGGAGCCACCCAGCCTAAGGAAGAGGGAGTCTCATATTGCACATCCATTCCAGTCCTATCATTCCTGATTGCCACTTTGATAGCAGAATGTTTCTAGTATGTTAGGGTTTGCTGGAATCTTAGCAGCCCTTTTACAGAGGGTAACTAAAGAGTAGGGTTAGTGGCCTGTCCAGATTCCCTGGGCTGATTGATGGCAATGCCGATATCAGAACTGAGGTCTGCACCCTCCACCCTCTTAATTCTCTGATGCCTCCTGAGGTGCGGGTGGTTGGGTTGAAAAACACAAGGGGCTTGCTAAGAGAACATTAGGTTCAAGGGGTGAGACGAGTTGTGCTTCAAAGTGTTTGTGACAGCTGTGACTAAGGGATTTGAGTAAGTGGCAGAGATTTATGGCTCTCCAACTCCCTCCCTTGGTGTTGACCCAGGAACAGGTGTGGTGACAGAGACATATAAAGCCACAGTCAAGACTGAGTAGACAGCAGAGCCAGTTGGTGAGGTGGTCAGCTGACCCCATGTCAGGAGCCCTAACTCACTGAGGAGTGGGAAAAGGGAGAGAAGTCTGGAGCTGAGCAGCCCTCCCCCACCCCCCCACCCTGACATGAGGGTCAGGGCCCTGGTAAGCACTGCTATTATAAAATTAAGGAGGCCAATTCTAAAAGCAGAGAACCCAATATTGGGGTGAGTGCGCAGAAGAGAGGATTCTGGGAGTGGGAGGGATAACCTAGAGAGTAGCAAGACCGGCAGGATGCCCTTGTAATGGTCCTGATAGTGGTTATAGGGCCTAGAAGGATGAACTGGGCAAGGGAGCTGCTACGCATACCACTTATCCCATAGTCATTGCCCAACCCAGTGCCCACCTGCACAGTATTCATTCCTTGGGGTTCCTGGATAGAGGTAGGGCTTGTGTTCTGAAGTCCTGTGTGTGTGTTCCTCCGTCCCTGCGTTCCTCTTCCCTATTTCTAATACCCCATTTTGTGGGCCACTCCCGGCATTCCGCTCCTCCCATCTTTCCCAGTGATCATCTGCCAAGGCCCTTTATTCCTGGACAAGTGAAGGCACCTACCCTCTGGAAGGGAGGAAGGGGGGTAGTGGTCTCTTATTCTGAGACCACAAGTGAAGACCTCTTTGAGGGGGATATGGTCCTTTATATCAGGACAGTGTTGAGATATATGATATATGAGAGTCCCAATATCCATTTTGTTGCCTCCCCAGCCCCTCCTTCTCCCAAGTATCATGCCTACTTCACAATGGGCAGATCAACCCAGCCACAAAAGAAGTTACAAGAGACAACTTTTTGGTGCGCTTCCACCGCCCCGCAGGGTCCTGGGACACTGTGCGAGATGGGGGAGGTGCTTTTTTATTTTTTGTAGAGGTGATCCCTGTCCTCCAGGAGCTTACAATCTAGCCAGGAAACTCAACTAATGCACACTTACACAATTATTACAATTAGCGATTACCACAATATTGACCACAATTGGGTGAGACCAGGGAAAAGATCAATGAGGGTCTGGGGGCTTGGAGGTATTTTAGTAAAGTTGGGATTCTTTTACTGATTGAAGAGGCCCAAATTGAGTGACACATTTTTTTCTAGTATGGTGGGCTTGGTGGGGGGGATAGAGGGAGCAAAGGCAGCAAGACTGGAATGCACATGCAGTAGGCAAGGGACAGTGATAGGGCCCCGCTCTGTTTCTTTCTTTTTTTCCCCTCCCTTTTTTTTTTAATTGATTATGGTATCACATAATTGTCCTCACCCCCCAATCCCACCCCAAACCCCTCCCTACATATGCCCTCACCCCCTCTCCCCCCGTTGTCCATGGCCACTGGCCAGGCCCATATGCATGCACACAAGTCCTTTGGTTGATCTCTTCCCCTTTACCCTCACTCTCCCCTACTTTCCCTCTGAGGTTTGAAAGTCTGTTCGGTGCTTCTCTTTCTCTGAGTCTGTTTTTGTTCATCAGTCTATGTTGTTCATCATTTCCTCTAGATGTGTGAGATCTTGTGATCTAAGAAATACCCTTGTAAGAACCTAAACTGAGAAAAGCCATAATGGTTATGCTGAGAGGCAAATGAATCAGTCTGTAGTGAGTTCTTTCTGGACCAACAGTTCTTTTGAGTCCCGCTCTGTTTCTTAACCCTCTTCCTTCCCCACCCAAGCCCTCTTGTCCCGCCACACGGACATGCAGTTGACTCCTTGTCTGCTGCTTAGAGATTCAGGGCTTCGGCTGGCCGATGATGTTGGAATGTTCATTCTGCTGGCTGGTATGGTGGTCTGGATCCCTGTGGTGGGGCCTGGTGGCATGGCCCTGGTTGTGGGGCTGGGATGTCGCTGTCCGACTCAGTCCAGATCAGAGTGCCTATGCCCAAATTTCTGCTCCCTCCATCCCTCCTCCCTCTACCCCGCCCCATAGTGGGAGGGGTATAGAGGGGTTGGGAAGGGGTCTGGTATTGTCGTCATTGCGGTGCTGTTTCTCCGGAGGCCTACCAGCCCCTCATTGACCTTGGCAAATGCTCCGCTGGCGAGGGAGCACAGGGGACCCCCTATTCCTGGGCGGCATTGGCTCCCATGCTGGGCGGGATGCACAAGAGCACCTGGTGACATGGCCGCGGGCTAGGGGCTGGGGCCTTAGTTGGGGGCTCGGCGGCGCTCTCCCAGCACGTGCCGCCCGGTCCTGGACACGGTGTACGCCACCTTCTGCAGGGAGTACCTGAACACCTGTAGTGAGAGACCCAGTACCTGCTCTTAGATGCGGGGATCCGCAGCCCGGGTACAGCGCTTCAGTTCCCGCCACCGCCCCTCCCCCTGCCCCGTCCACCTGTCCCACTAGGAGAGGCAGGCGGGGCACAGCTTGTCCACGCGTCAGAGCAACTGGAGCTTTTCCAGCTGTGCTGAGCTGCATGGCAGCAAGCTGATTGGACCTAAAACTTAAGTATACCTCACTTCTTGCAATAGGCTGCGTCCCTGGAGAATTTCGAAAAGGGAATCCTACCCAGTAAATGCAGCATTCCAGGAACACCTTGAAGGAAATATGCAAGTCCTTTGGCAAAAGAATCCTTTAGCAGGAAATTATTCCTGCAAAGGGTGCTTTTAGGGTAAATTATTTTATGGGCAAAGCGCTTTTTTTCTGATTTTTTTTTTTTTTTACCCAAAGTGCTTTGCCTCTATTAGATTTTTTTTAATAAAGTAAATTTGATTTTTTAGAAAGCGTCTTTTTCTCTTCCATTTTCCTGCAAAGAGGCTTTTCCTTTCATTGTTTTCCTCAAAGCACTTTTACCTGATTCATTTTTTGTTAGCTGCTTTGTCTATAATTTTTTTTCTGCAGTGCGCTTTTTATCTCATACAATTTTTCTGCCAAATTGTCTATCTTTCCTGCAATGCGCATTTTTCTCGAATTCATCCCCCTTCCCCCGCAAATTACTTTTTTTCTAGTTTGTTGTTTGTTGGTCTTTGTGAAGTGCTTTGTATTTGAGAGGTGCCCTTCCTGAATTTATTTTTCGGCTCAGCCCCGCAAGCGCTATATTTTTTTAAAAAGTAAATTTCCCCCGCAATGCGCAATTTTTTAAGGTGGAAATTTTTTGCTTATGTGAGTTGTAGCCTCTTCACAAAGCAGAGGTGCCCCGCCTCCCTCCTAGGGTCGAGTCTGAGTGTAGCGGGTTTTTCTTACCATGTTGGTTGCTAAGAGCCTCCGCGTTCCTCGGCGGCTGGCGCCCGCCGCGCCCCAACTCTTTGTTCCCAGCCGGGCGCGGGCGCACTGAGAAGGGTCCGCGCTAGGAGGAGGGCGCAGGGAACGGGTGGGGGCGCGTGGCGCCGTTTGCGGCACTCGGGCGGGCAGGATCGAGGCCATCAGAGATCGTGGCAGTCAGGATAGGATGGGTATGAGCGCGGCAATTGCAACGTGGGCTTGCCGATTCGGGGTATACACATTGGGACCCCTCTGCCACCCAGTACCCCGGGCACACTTACCTGCAGCAGTACTCGGAAAATGTACCAGCCAATGATGAGAAGTTCAGCCGATGCAGCCGCCACTGCTGCCATGGTTCCGAGAATGGGTGGTTGAGAGAGCCGAAGGCTGAGGGTCCGCCGCGGGCCGCTGGTCTCTCGGAGGCCGCTGTTGGGCGCACAGCCGCAGCCGGCCCTTAAGTATCCGCCCGCCACCCAAATGCGCATGCGCACCTGGGCGGGGGTGATCCTGTAGGGTGGGGCGCTCCTCATTCGCTAGGAGAGGACAAAATAATCCATCTGCTCTTTCCACACCGACCCCCGCCTCCTGAGTTTCATCCTAAACCCCTTTCCAGAAGATTCTGCCATACTAGCTTTTGAATATTAGTGTAAAGTGAAGGGGGGTTGCAACTCTGAGTAGCGAACTGCACGAGTGAAGTTAGTGGTTGTGCGCCTCTTGGTTCGGATCTCTTCTCTTCGAACCCAATGTCCGGTGCCTTCCCAGAACCCACCTTGGGCAAAGATGGAAACCTAATTTAGAGAAAGATCCTTTGCCTACGGAACTGAAAAGGCTGCCCCTTCCAGGAACCTCGTCTTAATAGGTCCCTGCTCAGCGCTCTTTTTTGAATATTTGATGTGCTGTAAGCCAGCGTCCTCTGTTTCACGGGAGTTCTCTGAGCCGGTCATCTTTCCCTGATTCCTTGAGTCCCACTTCCGTTGCTAGACCTATGGCCGTGGCGATTGTAGGAATCTTAACAGAGCACTGAACTCTAGGCGGGAAAACGGTAGTCACTGGGTATATTTTCTGAGAGGGGTACAGGAAGGGATGGGATGAGCTCTCGAGTAAGTGGTCAGAATGCGCTGAGGGATAGATTGCTGCTGGACAGGTCATTTCAACCTGTCTTCTGTTCTCCTTCCCCCTCGGTCCTGGTCTTGCGCAGCCAACGAGGCGGTTCTTTGTATTCGTTGCGCTGGACAGTTGGAGCAGGGCTTTGCTACCGCCACCAGAGGGTTGTGGCTCCCGCCGTATCCAGGCGCATCAATTAGACCTTAACACAGCGGATCTGCAAGTGCGGCCCCAGGGCACTGGTGGCCCGGCGCTGGTGAGCACCTCTCTCCAGCACGTTGCCTGGCACAGGGGCCAACTGACATTTGCCCCTATGTGGACAGAAAATTAATTTTTATTAAAAGCTCACAGAAATCAGGTTCCATACAGTGCCAGCAGCAAATGGAGAGTGTAAGTGATCCAAGCAAGGTCAGTTTAAACAAAGTAACATGGTGATTTATTATTTTTTTTTATATTCACTTTCTAAGAAGTTGGCTGATGTTGGTAAAATGATGCCAGGCTAATTTGTAAAAGCAAGCTGCCATCTTAAAAGAAAATATTTGATGGTACTGCTGCTGCTGCAGTTCCCGCAGGCTCTGCATGGTTAACTGCTTTAACTCCCTACTGAGCACCTGCTGTGAGAGAGAACCCTGTGCTAATCCTGTGGGGGCACAACATCGAGCCATGATCATTTGATGGCAACCACAGAGCGGTATTGTGAGGTCTGGACCCCTTGAGGACGGGCCGCAGCCCCAGGAGGCGATACATGATCTCTGCTGGGCAGGGCCCAGGCAAAGCCAGTCCACTGTTCGGGACCTGCCGGAAGAGCCCCCAGGAAGCCCAGGGGAGACACCCCAGGAGGCTTCTAGGAATGGTGACTTCCACGGGTGGGCAGGGAGGAAAGGGCATTCACATTTACTGTTGTTAACCATGATCCATTTTCCCAAATAAGTATACATTCTGTTCCTGTTTTTTTGTTTGTTTGTTTTTTGTTTTTTGTCTGTCTGTCTGTCTGTCTTTGTTTGTCTGTTGTGTTGACTTTTCTCTTCAGGACCCCTGCTGCCTTGGTGATCCTGGGCTGACAGCCAGAGAGCACAGCGGCTGAGCTCCTGGAGAGTGAGGGTTGAAGAACGCGGAGGGCAGCGCCCACGCCCGCGGGCTCCCATTAGGTCGGTTCCTGCAGCGGTGTTCAGCGGCCTTGGTGAAGGCCCTGCCTGACAGAGATCATGTATTGCCTCCAGTGGCTGCTGCCTGTCCTCCTCATCCCCAAGCCCCTCAACCCCGCCCTGTGGTTCAGCCACTCCATGTTCATGGGCTTCTACCTGCTCAGCTTCCTCCTGGAGCGGAAGCCTTGCACAATTTGTGCCTTGGTTTTCCTAGCAGCCCTGTTCCTCATCTGTTACAGCTGCTGGGGAAACTGTTTCCTGTACCACTGCTCCGATTCCCCGCTTCCGGAATCGGCACATGACCCCAGCGTTGTGGGCACCTAACAGCCTGCACATTTAGCTTTCTAAGGAAGCAGAAGACGGGAGGGGAGGCATTGACATAGGTCATAAAGCATTGGAGTTTCAAATCCCGCAGCCTGCGGGTGCCACATTCCTGACGGCGCCTTTTTGGCCTGTGATGTTTTATCCTTATAATGTGAATAATAGCACTGACAGGTGCTTTTATTGTAGAGTCCTATAGCCGTGGGTGGTCTTGTGGTTGTGTGTGTTCTGTCCCCATCTTGGTCCCAGCTGTCAAGATGCACCCCCGCCCTCCTCGCTTCATTCCTGCAAGGAGTCTGCACCCATCCTGATCAACTACCCCAGCATGACCTGGGCAGATAAAATGCCAAGTTCATTATCACTTCTGTGACTCCTTCCTTGTCAGGATCTTTTGCCTTCCCAGAATATTCCCAAATCCTCAGTTCCTCTTCTGGTTTCCCTTTAGTTCTCTTCTACCCCTTTCCTTTTTTGGGAGCATCTGTCTAAGACAGGGCTCATTTTTGCACTTATCTCGAATTTAAAGAGATTGCTGATGCCCGAGAGCCTCGCTTTTTCATTCTTCTTTCCCTGATCAGCAGGCTAGACAGAAACATGTATTGACTGTTTGATGTTCACAAATCTCCAGTATTTTTTCCACTTCATTTTTAAGAAAGAAGTAACATGTCGCTCTTTCACCTGGGTGTCTGGGCTCATTGCTCAGCCTCACTCCTTTGTCCTTCCTCCTGTCCTCCTCAGCTGTCCAGAGGGGGCTAAGGGTTGGCCTCATTGTCTCTCCTGTGCATGCTCTGCAGGATTGAGGTGTAGTGTGTTCATGTAGATCTAGAGTCCCCAGCTGAGTGAATGAGAGAGTACTTGTGTGTTTCAAAACAGCCATGATCCCTTGATAGGTGTTTGAATATTTTTTGGTGTGCCGTGTGTATACGTGAACAAATACATGTGTATATTCCTTTTAAATAAGCTTTATTGAATGTGTTCTGATTTTGAGGAATAGCAATAGCTACTATAGTAGGTGCCGCTACAGTTTTTATTTAGCATGGGATTGCAGAGTGACCAGCACACTGGACTCCAAGGTGGTTCAGACAAGACAGAGGGGAGCAGTGACCATCCTCGTGCCAGGAGCTCCTTCAGTCCTACACATATAGACTGTATGAAGAATACAAAGAGGAAGACTTGTGACTGTCACTTGCTTTTTTTGCTGTTTCTGCGCTTACATACAAGTGTTGGCAAACGAGACTTTCTCCTGGTCCCTGCCCACTGGCAATCGGTATGATTGTCCCTCCAGTCTAAACCATCCATCTTTCTCTTGCCTGAGCAAGAAGGGAGGTGGGCCAGGCAAAGGACAGAACTGGAGCAGTCCATCTAGGAAATGGGACCAAGAGGCCACACTTATGGAACATTTGGACTGCTATTCTGGAGCTTTTATTTCTGGTGTGTTCGTTGCAAAGCTGTTTGAAATGTTTAATAAAGCTTTATAAACTTTACTTTGTGGTTTTATGTGGCTGCAGTCCATTTAGGTCATGGTGTTGGATTTCTAAGTTGGTGCGGGGCAGAAGGTAGCATGGAGGGGCTGAGACCTTGGCGCCAGAGTACCTTAGCCTGAAAATTTGATCTGTTCTCTGGAGAGCAGATGGTGGGTTTGGGAGAGGGGGAGCAGGGGCCAGGCCAGGCGGTGAACAAGAGGGAGTCTGAAAGTTTTCAGAGATGAGACATTTGCGTTTTTCAGCTCCCATGGCTTCTCGCCTGAAACTGTTTCCCTCCATAGGAGATTTGAGTAACCGATCCTTTGACAAACAACTTAAGACAGCTGGAGCTCTAATCATCAAGGATTTTTATGGTGCTGTTTTTGAAGTAAAAATAAAGTGAAAGCCCGATGGCATCTGAAGTGGAAAAATAAATAAGTCTGGCCATTCAACCAGGAGGCTTACGGCTTCAGGCAATGGCTAGAAGTGCAGTTCAGTGTCATCGATGTCCATGTGCTCCCATGGCTGTGACCTTTGAGACAAAGCAGGGTAGCTTGTCAAAGCCTTGTGCTGGTTGTCTACCTCTTTATCTTTGTCTCTTCTAGAAAACATAATAAGAGCACTACCTGTCCAAGGCACAGAGCTATTGTGAGGGTCTATTAAGGTAACAGTTGTGAAAGTCTTTGGTAACTTCATAGTTTACCTAGATTTTTAATTTCTTGCTATAGTTTTATGTAATTTTCTCCTGTCCTTTTTAAATCTCTTTGTTGTCAGTTTTTCATTTTTTCACTCTAGTGTTATTAGTAATTTCTCTTGATCAAAACTTGCCAAAGATTTGTACATTTTAAAGGTATTTTCAAAGAACCAAACTTGTATTGATTATGTCTGCTATCTGATTCTCCAATGCTTTTATCTCTGAATTCTTTTCTTCTGGGTTTCTGGGTATATTAACTGGTTCAGCAAAGTCTTAAGCTGAGGAGTCACACATGTGGAAAGGATGGTTTGTTTAGCAAACATTGAGCCCCTGTTTCTGCTTCCTGGGGATTTCAGGGGCAAGACCTAGGCCTGACTCTATAAGACCACATGATTCTAACCTAGTGAGAAGACTTAAGAAAACAGACAATAGCAAATTCCAAAAACAAAACAAACAAACAAAAAAGGCTTTTGTGGCCCTACTCTCCTGTGGAGGCACCTGAATGATAAAGGAAACCAAGATTATTGCTTATTTTGCTCTCCCTCAGAAACCAGCTTTCTGTCAAAGGTCAAGCCTGCTTGAGAGTCACAAACAGACCTCCCTCTGAAAGATTTCTGACCCTTTACAGC